ATTAGGCTGCTCAACTCTACGAATGACTGCCTGAACAGTCAAGCTCATGCCCTTGAAACGCATCTTGACATCAGCGCCGGAAGGATCATGATTCAGCCACAGACCTCGATCCCCACGGCACGGAAACCAGCCTTTCTTGATCAAGCGCCCCATGCTAAGCAACGGTTGTGTGACATCGGCAATGATGCAACGCTCTCTTATGACCACATCACCATGACTCTCGCTTGGAATCACAAACTCAATCAAGCGCTCATCTGACACTTGCATCAGGCCGCCTTGCGCGTCCTGCACAGTAATGGGGCTGGACTTGACAGCATGTCCACAGTGAACATAATCCCGCGGAAGGCGCGACACATCAGCTCCTGAATCAACTATCACGGTGCATAGTTCAGGTTCATACTCAAGCTCGGTTGCTGCCATAGAGTCCAGGCATTTGCTCCTGGCGCGTGGAGAAGAGTTTTCAGTCACGACTACCTGTGCGGGGATTGAACTGCTCAGGACTTCTTTACTGGAGATTTATTGGGAACAGTTGCATCACAGGAGAGTTTCAGCAGGGTACTCTCAACTGCTCACAAGGCTTGCTCCAGCCGACTCCAGGAGCTTCACTCCGTTCCTGAGATCTTTGGTTTTGCTTCGAAGTGTTTGCGAGAGAAAGATTGGAAGACACGTTTTCTTTCAGAAGCAGCCTTTATTTGTAGTGAGAACAGCATTCCTTTTGCGGAGCAAGTTGCCTTTGTGAACGCGACTTCTGAAGCACCAGACTTCGAACTCTCTTTGCAGATTACTTTGGGATTTTCGCACAGTCTTGTTTCCACCGAGCAAGTGATTGATCTTGAGGATACAGTTCACCGTGCTCCTACAGTTTTTAGTGCTGATTTGCAAGCAACGCCCAGTGCACCCATTGATCTTGATTGATTGTCAGTTTCCTGAGCTTGAGCCTATCCCACCTCAGACACCGCAAGCGGCAGGTGCGACAGCGGGACAGGCAACAAATCCCTTTTCACCGGTATCACCGACTGCGCCTCCAGGTTTGTCCTTGACCGCAGGAGACTTGAATTTGCTCATGCAGCAGATGGTTGCTGCTACACAGGCAGCCACGGAGGCCGCCAAGATTGCTGCAAGTGTTGCTCAGACAGGAAGCAGTTCGTCTGAGAACAAGGGTTTGGAAGGCCGAGATTTACTGAAGATCTTGCCCAAGTCAGAGCCTTTTAAGGTTGAGTGAGCACTCCAGATGGGTTTCATGGTACTGGCAGTTTCGACAGTATCTGTGTGCCATTGACAGCAACTTTGATCGCGAAATCAGCTTGATAGAGCGTGAGCTTCATACCGAGGTGACTGTCATGCCGGCAGACACCCAAGGCTCATCGTGCGGGGTCTTGGATGGCGATCCAAGTAACACAGCATCGCTGCCGAAAAGGTTATGGGTGCCCCATTTGAACTGGGTACGCTCGTGCCTCAGGATGGCTTCACGCAGGGTTGTGTATGAGGCATCTTCGGGCAAGGAGGCTGAAATGTGCTGGCGCATGACTCCCGAAAGGGACCGAAGCAACAAAGCTGCCTTAAGCGATGCTTGAACAGCTTCCCTGGAGGCCAGCTCATACTGCTCACAGCCACGTTCTAGCTCAAGGATCTGAGGCAGATACGGCTCCTTGCTGTTGAAGCCTTTCAGCTGAGTAAGAGCGGTGTTGGCCCGCGCAAGTCGGACCCAGAAAGTTATATCACTTAGCTTTTGTGAAGCCGAGTACCGCAGCCATGTGTCCGGCATGGCGGATCTTATACTGATAAGTTCAGCCTAGGAGTTTCTTGGCCTACAAGTGGAGCGGCGCACTTTTCCTGACAGTTCAGCTGCGAGAAGGCTTTTGGCACGGCAAGGTGTTGGCAAAGTACGCCATACGCAAGGCAAGTTGCTTTGGTGCCAGGCACTGTACCGTGACTCCTACATGTATGTGCGTCCTGTGGACACTCTGCTGAACATAGCAGATCTCAACACGAAGCCACTCCAACATGATCGTGTGTGGTGCCTTCTTGCATTGATTGGAGTCCGTGACATGTATAAAATTGTGGGACAAGTCCAGCTTGATGATGTCAGGGCCAGGATTGCATTGAAGCTGCAGGGTTGCGTTGAAGCTGCAGGTTAGGCGGTTGCAGCGTCGCACTGGAGCATATGCGCAACCCGATGTGTTGGCTACGGCCTTGCGTGTTGCAGCGGTTCTGCAGGAGTTGCAAGGGGCCTCGGCGTGTGGCCATTTGGACGCCTTGGTCCAAGCACCGTGGGTTGTTGTGTTCGAACAATGCATGAGGTATGTCCTCCTGTTCATTTTTATCCTCTGTCCCATCTTGCTGCAAGGATGTGAGCCTTTTGAGATGCAAGCTGCACCGCTGCTTGAGTTGTGGATCTACTGGGCGGTTGAGTGGCTTACCGAGCAGCCACTTGCGGGGCTTACCATAGTTGGGCTCATAGTTTTAACTCCTTGGGTCATTATCTTGCTGGTGTGCTGCCGAATGAAACCCGTGATAATGCCCATGAAGCTCCAGAAGCCGAAGCCCGCGAAGCCCAAAATCCCAGGTTCCGCAGCAGGTTTCTGGCCCAGCGTCAGGTTCTCGTGAGGTGCCGCAGGAGGTTCAGGACAGGCTCAATGCATGGCTGTTCGAGCATGCTGCAAGACCAGCTCATGATACGTGTCGCACGGTCCGCAGTGTAAGGCCAAAGCCAAAGCCAAAGCCAGGAACCAGAGGTTGGCCAATGCAGAGGATCATGTGTACATCACAGTGCGGACAGGTGCTAAGTACCACCAGCGCAGGAACTGCAGAGGTCTCAATCATGCAGATGAGATCGACAGGATTGGTCTAGCCGAGGCCATCCAGCGAGGTTTTGAACTATGCAATATGTGCTGCACGACTTGAATATGCTCTTGATGCAATGAGAGTGGCTTGTTGTCACGATTCGGGCAGCGACCAGCCGGTTCAGCTGTGGGCGTGATAACAATTCATTCTCAATGTGCATAGGATGCTCGTGATCCTTGACAATTGGATATACAAATTGGAACAACCGAATTCTTGAAAGAGCATTCTGTGCTATCAATCTTGATTGACGCGCCACAAATTTGTGATCGAACAGACAGGTTCTTTCAGCTGAATTTTGCTCTTCAGTTTTGACTTGGAGCCAGTTTAATCCCAGCTAGGGGATTGCAATACTCACGTAAAGTTGTGTAAAACATCTTTGGACTACGGGTCGTAATGACCAAGTGTGGATGCAGCGAAGCAGGAAATCCACTTGAGAAAGTTTCTTGATTGCCGCTTTCAAACTTGTGGCAATGGGGTCCGCTTGCCTCAGTCAAGCGTTCAGCCAAAGCAACAGTAGACTGTAGGGTGTAGTTGTATAGTGTCCAAACACTCAGGAGTGCAACCAGCAGTGTTGCTTTCCTCCTTACCTTTAGTTTGAGCCCGGACTGCCACTCAGGCACGCGCTCAGGACTGACACAGACAGAATGTGTGAGGTGGCTTAACTCTGGGTAGTTTGAGTTTTCGACCCTTCCTCAATCTGCGCTTTGGGGAGTGTCTGGCGGGGTGATTGTGATTTCATTTTACCCCTTGGGTCATTTGTGAGCGCTGAAATATTTTGTTCCAGTCTTGATTTTGTTTGCCTCATGCTGTCATGTGCACATTGTCATGTGAGTGCTTCTGCAGGCGTTCAACATTTCAAGGAAAATTTTTAGAGCTGGCAGCTGCAAGACTCTGCTGAGCTCTTGACCCGGAGGCCTGTCTCAGGCCTTAGATTCATACTCGCTGGCATGTGCTGATGTGAACTTCGGCTGCTGTTGCGAATGCCTCCCTACTGCAATTATGCAAGCTGGATGGGTCACCCTCGCCTTTACAGCCATTGACGAAGTTGGGCGCTGCTGGTGAGCGCTAGCCACTCTAAGGAACCTGGAGCGGCGTATGTCCACTGCTATGATCATTACCGTTCCTGTCCCCTAGAAAATGTGCTCAGGCATGCCTGAGTCCTGGGGGAGAATTCCTCTTGTTACTACTTGAGGAAAAACGGCTGAGCGCTGCCTCAGGGACTGGAAGATGCTGCGATTCTGCTACACTGCTGTTTCTACTTAGACGCTTGTGGTTCACTGAAGACAAGCTGAGTGCAGGGCAATTTCCGGGCGGCAAGTCCATCTCCGGATTGCTGTCAGCTGCAAGATTCTACTCAGCCGAAGTTGACAAAGGTTAGAGTCACTGCTAGGTTCAGTACTTGAGATGCAGCAGATCCGGGCGGCAAATGCAATGGAAAGCTGTGTTGACTGCTTTGTGCAGGGCTCCAGACAGTCGATCCACTGCCAGGTTGAGGCAATGACCTAAGAGCTGGCTCTGGTCATGGCTCATGCAATTGTTGGCGCGCTGTCTTCACACTTTGCACTTTTCCTGTTGGGGGCGCAAGCTTCAGTAAAAAGGGGATAGGGCCCAGCGCACTGTGCAGCTTGCGCAACTGTGATGTACATGAAAGCGTTTGCGTCTGCCACAACGGGCACCGCATCCTTGACAGCTTTCCTTGCAGCCTACCGGCTCAGTCTTCTCAGGCGCAGCGGTCGAGGGCTTGCGTAGCACCTTGGAGGATGGCTTTTTGTGCACCTCCTTGGACTTGGTCTCCTTTTTTGTTGGCTTCTTGACCACCTTCATCGCCTTGCTGTGAACCGGAGCCATTGCTCTGG